CAGCACGCATCAAGTACTTCCCCCTTACTAGGGCTGGACTTCTCTAGCTATGGAGCTGATCCTCTCGATATGGTAGAAGTGGACCCTCGTCGTGTAGCTTGGATTCGACCCCCTCCAGTCATGAGTCCTCTGAAAGGCAAATGGGAGAAATGGGCGGAGAAAAATGTGGAGGGTGAATTATTTGTGACAAGAGTGGGACGTTCTTACGCTGACTTCCACGGTGTCTCATACTTCGACCGATCTCGTAATCGGGAAATCATCCTATTGAGCGACGCACCGATACTTCCTGGAGCCATCTCGAAGACCGAAATATTCGGACTCCCTTGTCCGCGACACTTACATTTCGCAGAAGTACCCCAGAATAAGACACCGCGACCCGCCAAAGCGTCGTCATGGCTGTACTTGACTAAGGACCCAACTCCTGGGGATGTGGGCATGCAAGCAAGGCGTCCTCATGCGGAGGATCTTCCTTTCAAGGACGAATTCAGGACTGGCGCGTCTACTCAACCATCACCACCACCCAGCCCTGGTAATCCAGCGCCACCGCCTCTCCCTTTGCTCTTCAATCCTCTCGACTCCCCGGAGATTGGGGGCGTTCCAGATAGCGAGCGCCCTGTTTCTCCCGTGGACTCCTTGTTGGGATCCCCCCCGGAAGTAGATTGGGGCACAGACCTTGACGAGCCAATGGGACCGCACATACCATCCGAGGCTGCTGAAGACGTAGAGATGGGTACTGTGGACCTGGGAGACGTGCCCTCTCCTCTTCGGAGCCTTCCTAAGTCACCGACAGTCCCACCCCCTACTGTATCCGTTCCCAAACAGCCTTCGCCAACTCCCTCCCCAAGACATCGAGCCGCCTTCGAACCCTCAACGAGTGCGCCCGCACCTGGTGCCCCTCGCTGGAGCCCTTCTCGACGTGGCGGTCGTAAGCATGCGCGTCCGTTATCTCGCTCTCCAACTCCTCCCCGAAGGAGAGGAGATTCTTACCGTCCTCGACCATCCCACAATGTTCGGGAAAGCAACCGTCCCCGCTTCCAACCGCCGACGCCCACTCCTAACGCTTGGTCTACAAGCAATAACCCTTCCAGCCCTTGGGTGCAGTTGCCTAACGCAAACCCTTGGTCAGCTCCCAACACGTTCTCCGCTGGTTTAAACCCGACACCGTGGGGCCCCCCTCCTGGTTATATGCCTTGGGGTATGAACCCATCAGCCCCTCCGCCGTGGTCCGTTCATTACCCTGGTTACTATCCCTCAGAGCATGCTTCACTATCGGGTTGGCCCCCTCTGGGATTTCCTATGATGCCGCAACACAACTGCGCCTCCTGTCATAATTGCGCCTCTTGTGGTCGTCCTTCAACGTCGACTGGAGAAGGGAACTCGTCTCAGCATCCTTCTGCACCGATAGCGCCATCATTATTAGGTCGTCTCCGATCGCCATCCGCGGTAGACTCGCTTCGCATCGAACCAGTTCCCTTAGCGCAACGATTACGGGATCCAACGCCTTTAGTCGAGCGTTTACAACCACCTGCCGCTTCCTTAATACAGCGAATTCAAGGGCCACCTATGGAATTCGTTCAAGGGTCCTCTTCCAGGCCTCTACAAAGCATTCCGCCAGTACCACTGCAACAACGGCTGGCTGTGAACTTGGAAGACGGGGAAGACGATTTTCCAGAGGAGGATAGGCCCACACCCACTAGTCGTGCACGAAGGAGTCGTAGATCAGGCAGGAAGCAGCATGAGGAGGACCAGCGAAGGATCGAGGAAGGCAAGAAACCGGCAGGAAAGGGCAAGAGGAGGGATCGGCGACGGTAGGAGTCATTCAAGTCTGGATAATTCGAGTCTGCGCGCAGGGGGGCACTGTAATACGGAGTTGAGGATACGCGCAGCCCCGCTTACTAATACTTGACTTATATCTGTTTGTATTGGCATTAGCACACTTAGACATTAACCATCATTCATCTTGCTACCAAGCTCGCGTGAACCGTGTCCGATGTCCACTGCTGGTAAGACCAAAGGGTGAGCACCCTTCACAATGCTCCCTCCTCCACAGGATACGAGAGCCCGCACTCTGGGTTAAGGAGTATCTGCCTAGGATTGCTAGGCAACCGAGGAGACGAGCGCACTTCAAGAGTCGCGTTCTCTCCTCTTATATATTCTTCAAGTCTATTCTACGACATCACTACTACGGTACCACGAGACTCTCATCGCACGAAGTCCCCGTATGCACTGAGGTTTCACAGTTTCTGGTTAGCACCTTCCTCCTTCAACTCTCGTCACCCACTCACCTTTCATCAGCCTCAATTTACTCTGGTAGAGTTCTGACCGTTTCGCCTCCAACAAGACGATTGACCTGGTGAACGAGCTCTCCGCCCCGCGACAAACACAAGTCTCTGGAATAGGAGACTACAAGTGCCAAGTCACGTTAGAGCAATACGTTCAGCTCGGAGCGGCTCGACGAGGTTGAGAAGGAGTCGAGGAGAGGCTGCGACTTGAATAGGATGCAAGCTGAGATTGCGCTCGGCGGGTTGGAGAAGGCTTCCAAGGTAAGCTCTCGCACTACTATTGCGCTCATTAAGTTGGAGATTGACGGGCTGTGTGCAGGCTTCTTTGCCCCTGGCGAATTTCATAGTTACAGATAGTCATTAAATAAGGTGAGCGCGTGTACGAGCTTTGATATCTTCTCCCCCTGATTCTTTGGTTGAATGATAGATCATGTATTGACTACTAAGAGTAATCTCATCAACTATAGTCCCACCATCCTAACTACCGCTTGCGATCAAACAACACCCTACTCATCCAGATACGAAATCACACTATGCCCCGAATATCTCCCTCAAAGCTCTCTCGACCATCTCGATGAACCGTTGGTGGTTAAGAAACTCTGCCATAGATTACTGGAACCCTGTTCCTTAACTCAAACGGACAATCTCGAATAAACGCCCGTGAATGCTCATGTTCCGACGGTTCATGTCGTGCAGCTATGCGTCGAAGACCGGGTGTCTAATTTTTTGCGGAATGGTGAGATTCGGAGTGGAGTTTTTGACCTTCTGCGTAGAGTTCTCAGCCGTTTCCGAGGACGTCTTCGACGCGTTTCATATATGAGGCGTTGGCGGACCATTTGGCGGGCCCTGATGATGGCTCGTGCTATTGGGAGTAGGTCGCGCATTCGAGTTATTTAGTAGGCTTTGGGGAAGCGGTATTGGGTTTTTGAACTGGTGGTTAAGTAGGTCAGTAGTTGGGAAAGGGGGAGGAAGAGGGTACCTTGTCGATGCTATGTTCGTATTGTTGAACATACAGTGCTAACCTGAACTTGAAGGTAATTTAGGCATGGTACCCTTCACCGAGCCACCACGCTGGACCCTCTCTTGCCTGAAGTGTCCATTCGTAAAGTGTTCCTTTCCACTCAATATACATTATTTCACCATCCGGATCGAAGAAAAGTGCGCTCAGACGTATGGGCCTGGGGTCATATGAGTTCGATATGAGTAATGGGTTTCTTTGTTCCAAGTCGAGTGTCTCCTCGATCTCAAACGATGCTGGGTCAATGAGGTGAAGACGGATAGTAGCGCCTTTGGTCTACAGGCAACTTCTTTAGCATGAAGAAAATAACGCCCAAGCAAGGTTGACTTACCTCCACGAATGCCAAAACTTCTCCGCCGAGAGTTCCGCTACTAAATTGCAGAGAAACCACCCTAAGCACATCGTAATCAGGCTCTTTTACCATCAAGGGAATTTTATTTCGAACATCCCAAACGGACAGTGTGCCATCATTTGCAGCAACAGCAAACTTTGACCCATCGGCAGAAAATGCAGGTGGTGGGAAAGACCAACGGTAACGTATTGGTCTTGTTTGGGGAATTGGCACCTGGGTAATCAAATTGAATCTAGAATTGGCCGAGCCGGAGTGTAACATCGCAATCGCTTCCGTGTCAGGAACTTGTCTCACGCAAAGAATCCGCCCATCGGGAGAACATGCAAAGTCGGCAACTTTAAAAGGGTGTGTTAGACTCGGAGCAAACTAGCATTTCCAGCAGATTTACGACAAACCTGGGGCTATGATCCTGCCATACAAGTGAAGAAGCTCAGCCTCATCAATCAGAAGGTGACGATAACGTGCATAGTCGAAGTCCATTGCGAGTAGCTGCATTTGACGTATGCAGTCGTTGTCAAATGTAATGCCCAAAATATTCGCAGGCGACCTCAATGGCTTTAAGTCATCGAGATCTGGTTTATCCGAAAAACCGCGGTAGGTCCACAAAGTAGGGCCAACACGGTGGTCGCAGATTTCGTGAATTGAAAGTTCGAGGTGTGATACTTCGTTAGGCTCAAGACTCAGGGGAGCATTGCTAGGCTGTTCCTTGTCGCTAAACCATTCGTCGTCGCTCTGGAACCGGTCTAGTCTCATGAGTAGGACCCGATTTCTTTCAATTGGAATGAGCTTGAACCTCAAAAAAAGTAGTTCATACGACGGTGGGCTTTGGACACTTCGAAGGATTCGTGGCTAGAGGGTACAATACTCAGTCCACCACCTTTTCGGTGGGTAGCATGGAAGTACATCTACATACCTCGTGCTTACTAGAGCGATGAATATTGTGCTCACATAGCATACTTCCCCGTGAATAATAAAGGATTCCCTTTCGAAAGGGACATTGGAGGTTGCTGACAGGTGGATTGCTACAAAGTTGACTTGTGCTGAATTGTTTGATATCTGAATTAAAAAAGCTCTCACTTATCGCCATCACCAAGAATTGTTATCCTGGGTGTCCTTGACTTGAGGAATCTTGAATTACGCTCGCCCATCAATGAGAGTAAGGAAGGAATAGTGTGCCATGATAAGCGCTCAATATTGCGGAATGTCAGCGCAGACCCCGTGATGTAAACATAACCTCCACCTCCACAAATGGAAATGAATCAACCTCTTGGCCTAAATCCTACCTCCCACCCTCTTACCTCAAGTTTCAACCTTCGCATAGAGCGTTGCACTCACTCTCCCCAGAATACCCTCCCGAACACTCCCTGACTCTCCAACAAGTCCATCATGCCAACCTGGAATCGGCGTTGTGACCATCAAAATGACGATGTTTTGCGGACAAGCCTCGGAGCATGGTGCTGTTCACTATGAACTCAGTGGTTCTCAGCCTTGCTCTGACACGTAGTCAGCCTAGACAAGTGATGCGAGCGGACTCGGCTGCCAAAAGTTGTCTCCACTGATGTTGTCAAACCCCCAGAAAGTTGGCGACATGTCCCCGAGCACGAGCCATACCGTCGAGAAGCCGTTTTGAGAGTAAGGGGTAGCATGATAAACACGGCTCCGAGAACATCGTACGCGTCCAAGGGACTCAGTAGAAGCAGCGCCCTCCGGTTTCCATTTCAAAAACTTGGCGGTGCCTGTGACTCCCTTCGAAAGAATCCCAAGCGACAATTGAGCAACAAGTTCGCCCGCGCAAGCCCGATGTTGCGTCTTTGCTCAATGATTCGTTTAGGGTGATCGGAGCGCATCGCACCCCAGCATCAAGACATCCCAGTGTGCACAGGGGCAGATGAGATGTGGGGTGAGCAAAGATTGAATAGGTCGCCTGGATTGAGTTTGATATTGTGCAGGTAGTTGACCTGCGAGTAAGAGTCGGATAAGGGGGTATATACGCGACGATGCATAAGTAGCTCCTTCCTCGCGGCATAAAGTTTTAAATTAGCTCAGTGATTTTGTGACGACGTGGCAATGTGTGACGGGTTCTGAGAATTTGGCGGATGAGGCGGGTGCTGGGCGGGTGAGGAGAGAAGAATGACGCGGTTGGTATTGCGAGCAGAAAGAGGGAGTAGGTGCCAGTGAGTGGTGGCTTTGCTTAGGGATTCTCTTTCATGCCGTGCTCAAGAGGTCTGAGAGGCCAGCACAGGCGGCACCAAGGCGGCACCAGATCGACACCCGTTGCAAGGGAAGGATGGGCGGGACAGAGGACTCCGTAACTGTCTGCAAAAACCCGGCTGAACTTGGCCTGAACCCGTCGTCCATTGCGCAGGTCTTCTCCACAGCCGATTTCCCGGGTCCTCCGCCTCATCACCCTCCACACATCCTCCCTCCAAAACCGATCACCTCCCCTCTCATAATCACGGGTTCACGCCCCGTCCCACTGGTCATCACGCTTAGTTGCAAGACCTGCGCGAACGTGTCAACAAATTTCCTCGCACACAAAACGCAGATGACCGTTTGGTTTTGGAGAAGACTGCACAGGCGGCTGCCCCGATGCCCGAGGAGTTCTCTGATGCCAAATTGAGCGTGGCTCATGAAGTTTGAGAGGCCAACACACCTGTAAAAAGGGAAGGTCGGTGCAACAGAAGAGTCTGTCCATAATCATCCTCAGAAAGCTGCCCCGTCGTCATCCACCGCACTGATCTTTTTCAGGGCCAGCTTCCTGGGTCCTCCCTCTACATATTCTCTCTCCGGAAGCGCATTCTCACCTCCCCCCCTCGTAATCCTGCTCTGGGTCCATGTCCCTCCCCATCATTCGTCACATCCACTTGCAAGGTCTGCGCGAAGGCGCCATCACGCAGTCACACGGTGAGTGTACCGGCGGGGCCCTGATGCATGATGCTCCTACTTAGTCAGTGGGGATGTAGGAACCGGGATTCAGATTTTCACGTTGCATCCCCATCGTTGAAGGAATCCTTGCATTGGTGAAGCAGATTAGGCGGAGGGTCGACCGGAAGATAAATGGTCGAAGGTGTTTAAATATTTCGGGAAAACTCGAAAACAGGATCAGGTAGTTCCAGACACCGCCTTGGTTCTCGCACCCCACAGTAGCAGTTGTCCGCGAGCGGGCGAAACAAGCAATTTGAGCTGAGTGCAATGAGGAAGGTGGGCCTACTCCAGAACGCGAGAAGGCTGCTTCAAGAACGTGCAAAAGTTGATTGTGAAGAGTGAATGGAATTGCGGTGGAGACGAGGATAGATAGATCAACTGACCTAACTGCGGGTGAATGAGGCAGGAAAGCAAAGTGATGGATGAATTGGTGACCCAAGTCTCAACAATGAGATACACAACCAGTCAGTAATGGCAAGAAGACAAGGGCAGTCGCCTCCACGGGCAAATGAAGAGCCTGTCGCGGATCTGGTAGGTACGTTATCAGCTGCGCAGCCAGAAACGCGCACGCCAAATGGCGAGCTCTCGTACCCCTTTCTCATGAAGCTCACGTAAACCCACCCGCCCGCCTCCCCACCCAAGACCGAGCCCTAAATCGGAGCCCTTTCATTTTTCCGACAACATTGTTGTCCTCCCCCTTCTGCTTGATCAAACCACGCTTCGGAGCGGTTTCGGGTAGGCTGTCGGATCCGGATCGGAGGGGCGTGAGGGTCGTCAGTACCCGTGTGCCCCCTTTTGCGAGTGGCCGGACAAGTTGAAGGGGGACTCTGGGATGGTGGTGGTGAGAGAGAGAAGAGCCCCGAAGCAAAAGCGGTATAAGTAGCCTGCTGCGAGGATAGCCATAGTCAGGGCCATAGCTGGCTCAGCAAGGCCTTCAAGTGTTTTTGCTAGACAATATCATGAACGCGGAGTTTCGGACGATCTTTTGCGTGGCTTTGGCGAAACTGTTCGTTAAATAGTGAGGGTAAATGAATCGTGAGCCAAAGGCATTTGTGAATGGACTTTCAGAGGATCAAACTAGGATTGAAATATGTTCAAGTAAGGGAGTAGTGGGAGATATAGAGATTGCTGAGTGGATGGTTGGCGACAATTTGCTACTCCGAATCAAACGGAAGTCAGATTCTCTTTTCCTGCAACGTCCACCAACCAACTCACCTTTCCACACCGTCGACTACAAACTTTCGGAAAACTCAAGGGCGACGTTATGGCCATACTGCGTGTGTTTCACTGGGAGCATGGATGTCAGTCAACCAACAAGACGGGGCTTTGCCTAGTGGGTGTTTCTTCAACCATACTCTACTATCCTATCATTGACTCTATTATGATGTCTTCTCTCGTCAAGCAGTAGTGGCCCGCTTCAACCACATCTATGGCTTCCCCCGACACTGCAGACGACAGGACCAACGAGCTATGGGCCGAATCTATCCAATTTGACAAGAACCTGTCAACAATTCGCCCCAGCTCCTTGAACATGACTCAGCACCACTAGTGCATACGCTGGCGGCGTGCCATCGGCCACCTCTTGCTCAAACCCAACGCGACGTTGAAGCAAATCGACAAATTATTCGAGGATGGTGAGTTCATCCGAAGCTCGTAGATGTTGTCGTGACTTACACCTGAACGCTTCCAACTTGCAGAGTTGTTGCGTCAAGGCCATCTATATCAAACTGGTCGCAGTACGCCTCACTTGACTAGTATCTTTACCAAGCACTCGGCCCATCCCATGTTGCGTGGTCGGATTCCCTTTGGCCCAGGAACGACCGAATCCATTGCGTAGTTTGTCATGGCTCCTTCCTCACCCACTGAACCAACCCATGCAGCCGCACCGAAGCCTAAGGAGCCCAAGAATTCATCCTCCAATTCTCGTCACCCACCCACCTTTGATCGGCCGCAATGATACAGATCTGACGGCTTCGCCTCCATCTAGACGATCGACCTGGTGAACGAGCTCTTCACCCCGCGACGAACTCAAGTCTCTGGAACAGGAGACTCTGAAGGGACCAATTGTGTTAGAGCAATAAGCTCAGCTCGGAGGGGCTCGAAGGAGTCGAGGAGAGGTTGCGACTTTGGTATGATGCGAGCTGCGATTGCGGATTGAAGAAGGCTTATCCGGTAAGCTCTCGTACCACTGTTGTGCTCATCTAGTTGGAAATTAACGGGCTTTATGTAGGGCTCTTTGCCCCTGGCAAATCTCATGATTACGGATAGTCATTGACTAAGATGAGCGGATATCCAAGTTGCCTCCTTTGCCTGACGCTTCGGTTGAATGATAGATCATCTCTCGACTACCAACAGTTGTACCTTCAATACATTTATGAAAATACAATGTCAACGTTGAAAGTCGCGCCATATTTCAATGAGCTATGAATACAATTACAAGTATGTAATGCAGAACTAAAACATCATCTCCCTCCAACTCCCGTCACCCACCTTTAATCAGCCGCAATTTATTCTGGTACAGATCTGACGGCTTCGCCTTCAACAAGACGATCGACCTGGCGAACGAGCTCTTCGCCCCCTCAAGTTTCTGGCAGAACAGGAGACTATGAAATGACAAGTAATGTAAGAGCAATACGCTCAGCTCAGAGAAGCTTGACGAGGTCGAGAAGCAGTCGAGGAGAGGCTGCGACTTTAGTAGGATGCGAGCTGCGATTGCGCTTGGCGGATTGAAGAAGGCTTATGCGGTAAGTTCTTGTACCACTGTTGCGCTTACTATCAAGTTAAAGATTGACGGGCGTATGCAGGACTCTTTGCCCCTGGCAGACTTCACGATTACAGGATGTGCCTTGATACGGAGTCCTCTCGTCTCCCTGATGCTTCCGTTGAATGATAGATCATCTATCGACTATTAACAGTAGTCTTATTAACTACCCGCTACCAATACCGTCATCCTGACTTTCAAGTATCCTACCCACCCATTTTGACGCGTCGTTGGCGTTTGAGAAACCGCCGCAGAACTCTCCTCGCGGTTGTCTCCTTCCGCCTCGATGACGCGCCACGTATTGGATGAAGGGGCGGCGGGTCCCACTCAAGACGGACGGCCTGCGTGTGTTGAGCTTCTAGCTTTGCGCGCGCAGTGGTGGAGGGCCGTCGTTCCCTTTGGCAAAGAAGTTGTTGAGTGGACGAGAACCCGCTTTATTATCTCTTATCGACCCCACTCTCATCTTCAATAAGGTTATAACATACAATGCAACATTGAAAGTCGCGCCATATTCAAATGAGCTATGAATACAAGTACAAGTAAGTAATGCGGAACTAAATTGAATTCATTTACCCGACAACTAAGATCTCGAATTCTTCCAGGCTTTTAGAAACGCCCTGCACATTAACGATCCCCTTGTGTGCATCTAACCTCAAATATCTCCCAGGAAATGCGGCGGACTCAATGCCCACCACAGCCTTATACTGGTGGAATTCACTCTCTTTCTGGCGGATGCGGAACTTTTCCCAGGAGTGCGCTGTGTGCTGGCCGTTGACTACACCCCCGCCTGGGGCAATGAGGGTGCCCTCGGGGACGTCGGTTCCGTCCAAGCGAATATAGGTGTCATTGAAGGCCGTGGATTTGAACGACACGGTCCCGTCGTCGTTCCGCTCGAGGGAGAAGGTTTCGTAGCTGGCGACGTAAGTCTGGGTTTTGACTTGACCGCCGCCGGAGGGTTTGAACTCGTGAAGGTAGTTCGCGTCAAGGCCGACGTAGTGGTCTGGGGAGGCGACTGAACGGATTGCGACTAGGGTCATGATCTGTGATAACGGTAAGTTTTATCAACACAGACGAAGTATAGAAAGCTCACGATTTCGAGGTGGATTATTGGATACTTCAAAAGATGTAAACTGGCGCCTTATTTATATTTCTGACATACGGCATCAATTCCACTTGAATCTCGTTTTCGGTGTCGCTAATCTCCACGTTCCAACCGCGTCAACAACCCCAAAAAATCCCTCCGGTGGTTTCGAAATGCCTGAGGTCACAAGAACACAGGATATTGTTTCCGTGGTCAAGAAATTGGAAATCCGGCTGACGTTATTGCTGAGAGAACATACTTCTGCCTGTGCTCTGCACTTTAATCAACACGCTAAGTCTTCTTTGTAAAACAATCGAGAGAACCTGAAAAAAACTCACTGACACATTTAGAGGTCACTTGAATTTTTCTTTCGCGACTTTATCATCAACTCTAACACTACTCTAATCTGCCTAACCAGTGTGAGTTAGACCCCTCACGGCGGCTCACGCCGCGCCCACATCAGAACACAGTGTTCTGATGTGGGCTTTCATTCTCTTCAACTAGGGCGTAAGTCGCTTCCGCTTAAAGGCATTTAGATGTCAGCAGTTGCTGATACGAGCTGATAGGAATCACGATGGATAAGATAAGTCGGCCATCAGACATGTTTCAAGGACTCGCGTCATCCTTGTGCAATGTTCTGAGTGGAAGATGCATAGGTCAGCACTGCACTCCATTCTCAAATAAGAATATCTGATCCAAGCGGGAGAACTCTGTACACTGAACGTGGCGGAACACTCTATGAGTGTGACCCGAAGAAAAGAAGCATGGCAAGAGAGGGTCCAGAGTGGTGGCTCGGTAACGTGCTGTCCCCTGATATCTTTGAGAGTCTCTCAAGTCGGAAGTGTAAATCTCGTTGAATAATCATGAACATCTAGCTGGAAAGCACACGAGATGTAGACGAACCAGGAAGACCGAATTTGATTGCCCAAAAAATTCTAGATGCCGAAGCGGTGTGTAGGATACACTGGAGAGATGCTATTGAATGATCGTCTTTCCCAGGACTGTTCGTCAGAAACTGACTTTGGCCCTTTCCGTGGAAGATTCATCACGAGTCCTGGTGCCAGCTCAAATTTTTTGACGTCGAGGTCAATACTGAATATTCAACAGTCCCACAGACATGATTAATTGCGACGGTTATCTTGACATGCTCGCAGTTCCAATTGCACTCGGAGGATTCGCCGGTCGTCCACGCTGAGGCTTACATTGGAGACGTCGAGCGAGTCGAGTGGCAGCCATGGACTCAATTCAGGCTGCACAAATCACTTTGGTCTGATAATTGCTGGTGGCCATCCGACGTGGCCCGCTCCATGGCGTAGTTTGACTATTGAGAGAGTGAACGCTTTGTAAACTGTAGGCATAATATTCCTCGTTGGTTCAACAATTTGGATAAAAATGCTGAAGAACTCGGAACCGAGTAAGTAGTACAAAGATTTCGGAGTGCTTCAATTGAAGTGTCAGGTCGTGTCAGGGTACAAGGTAATGGCAGGTGCCTTCCTAGTTCTAGCCAGCTGGATGCTGGTTATGTATGAAAGTGGTGGTCGTTCGTCAGGCTGAGGAAGGATTGATCGGAGTCGCGCACCCGGAACAAAACAAACCTGACTCCGACTCTTACCTAGACAACTAAGTAAATCTTTTCCCTTACCCCTTCGGCGCACACCCACCCACCCCTCCATCCATCCGAGACGTGGAATAGACAATAAACGAGGGCGAAGCGTGGGATGTTGTGTCGATTTTGAGGGGTAGAGCTGGGAGGAAAGCGCTCTTTCAGGTTTGTCGTCCTCTTTTCCCTTTTAACTTGAAACTGACCAACAAGATGGTTTTGGGCGACAACCGTATATCACCCCACCTCCCTTTCAGGCCTTTGCTCCATCCTTAACGGACTCGACCCATTCGGGAGGCGTCGACTCGAATTTGTCGCTTTTCGAAATACGGGGACGAGGGGGGCAGGAGGCGCTTTTTATGATTATACGGCGCGTTATGGGGCTGTTAATGTAGGTGATGGATGGCTTTTAAGATCTCTGGGGTGTTGACACGGGTGGGGGGAAGCGAGGGGGATGGTGTATCTGACGAGTGGGTGGAGAAACTGGGCTTGAAGGGCATACGGGACCCGCCATTCATCGCGCTGAGCAATGGGCAAACGATGAGAGCGAGGATCGCTAGAACTAAAGTGCTGTTGCTGGACGAGCCGTCGAGTGAGTGCTTTTGCTTTTTGTTTCTTGCGTTTTTCTCCCTCCCTTTGTTTCCCCTTTCTTGTCCATTTTATGCCAAACCGCAATTTCCTTCCGTTTCCTCGTTGCTCTTTTTCTATTTCTGTCCCTTCCTCTGCTGCTTACCTTATTCCCTCCTCCCCCGCTTCCCCACTTTCGGCGCTTTTTTTTTCCCTTCTACTAACTCCTGCACGCACCTTCTCGGCCTCCTGGAAGAAGTCCACGCATCTCGGGCGCCAAGATTTATTATGGGGGTGCGCAAGTTTTTTTATGTTCTTTTCTATCTTCTGCGGGCTTCCTCTCATTCGCTCAAGTCGACTTTTTTTTTCCTTCCGTTTCTCCGTGTTTCTTTACATGCCATTTCTTTCGTTTCTTTTCCCTTCTGCGCCTCTGTGAGTTGAAGTAGCTATTGACATAACGATGACAGGCTGGCGAAGTGTTTAGGTCTCTTCTCCAATTCCTATATGAAGGGACTCAGACCTTGATCCTCCCATCCACCTCGTCTCGTGCATGGTGGCCCGGTCGTGTCGGTCCACATATCGGTTCATCGTGTCTCGCGGGAATTGACGTTCTAGTGTTTTTAACGTTGGCCCCTTCTCTCATTTCTTTTGATTCACAGGGCTGACTTCGTCACTTTCATTTGACTCATATTGTACCTCGCTTGGGATCTCACTCCAATCTCCTTCATTGACTTCTGACCCATCCGCCGCGTGTCGCGTCCATGTTCTTTCTCATCAAATACCACATACTGGCATGCTTTGATTCGAAAGACCCTGTATTCCGGCATTACCTTTACTTGACCCATGGTACACACAAGTACTCATACATTACATTATAGTTCAATGGTACTCCACATGGTCAATTGTACCTATGTACCATAGAGCTACCCCAATGGGGCCAATGCTATCTACACACTATTGAATAAAGTTGGGCCCAATGCATGCTTTTACCTTAAGGTGAGATGGTGTGGCCCAATTGTGAAATATCCTGCAACATTGGGCCCAATTGCTATTTAACACATGATCATATGGTGGACCGACGAAAAAGTAGGCCGAAAGATATATCCGAAGACAGGGGGGGGTCACTACTATGGCACCAATTTCTCTGCCTTCTCAATCCTTGCTTTGATCCGAAGCTCCTCTTCATTCAGCATGATCATAGTATCCAACTGCCTCAACTGATCCTCTACGTGTGCCATTGCCTCCAAAAGAGCATCTCGAGCTCTCAAACCCACCTCATATTCCCGATGCAATACCCTGTGGGCTATTCGGGCTTATTCCAGTGGGTTGGTAAGTCTTCCCACATCAGGCAACACGACATCAAAAAATGAGGCCATCTTCGGCTCAAATTCAAATCCGACATGTTAAAACCAAAGATTTTGTCAGCTGGTAGTGCCGAAATCCTTCCGGAAATATTGCGTTGCCTCCCAAAGACTATGTGCACTCAATAGATATTAAGACCGAGGATTTCATCCACTGGTTGTGCCGAAGTACCTGCGGAAATGTGGTGTTGCCTCTCAAAGAATATGTGCACTCAACACATGTTAAAACCGAAGATTTCGTCAGCTCATAGTGCCGAAGTACCTCCAGAAATATTGTGTGGCCTCTCAAAGAATATGTGCACTCAACACATGCTAAAACCGAAGATTTCATTGGCTTGTAGTGCCGAAATCCCTCTGGAAATATTGTGTTGCCTCCCAAAGACTATGTGCACTCAATACATGTTAAAACCGAAGATTTCTTCAGCTGGTAGTGCCGAAATACCTCCGGAAATATTGTGTTGCCTCCCAGAATATGTGCATTCAATACAAGTTAAAACCGAAGATTTCATCGGCTGGTAGTGCCGAAATACCTCCGGAAATATTGTGTTGCCTTGCAAAGAATATGTGCACTCAACACATGTCAAAACCGAGGATTTTGTCGGCTCGTAGTGCCGAAGTACCTCCGGAAATATTGTGTTGCCTCTCAAAGACTATGTGCACTCAACACATGTTAAAACGAAGAGTTCGTCAGCTGGTAGTGCCGAAGTCCCTCTGGAAATATTGTGTTGCCTTCCAAAGAATATGTGCACTCAACACATATTAAGACCGAAGATTTCATCCACTGGTTGTGCCGAAGTACCTGCGGAAATATTGGTGTTGCCTCTCAAAGAATATGTGCATTCAACACATGTTAAAACCGAAGATTTCGTCAGCTCATAGTGCCGAAGTACCTCCAGAAATATTGTGTTGCCTCTCAAAGAATATGTGCACTCAACACATGTTAAAACCGAAGATTTCATCGGCTTGTAGTGCCGAAATCCCTCTGGAAATATTGTGTTGCCTCCCAAAGACTATGTGCACTCAACACATGTTAAAACCGAAGATTTCGTCAGCTGGTAGTGCCGAAGTACCTCCGGAAATATTGTGTTGCCTCCCAGAAAATATGTGCATTCAATACATGTTAAAACCGAAGATTTCGTCAGCTTGTAGTGCCGAAGTACCTCCGGAAATATTGTGTTGCCTCCCAAAAATATGTGCATTCAATACATATTAAAACCGAAGATTTCGTCGGCTTGTAGTGCCGAAATACCTCCAGAAATATTGTGTTGCCTCCCAAAGACTATGTGTACTCAACACATGTCAAAACCGAAGATTTCGTCAGCTGGTAGTGCCGAAATACCTCCAGAAATATTGTGTTGCCTCCCAAAGACTATGTGCAGTCAATACATGTTAAAACCGAAGATTTTGTCGGCTTGTAGTGCCGAAGTATCTCCGGAAATATTGTGTTGCCTCCCAAGACTATGTGCACTCAATACATGTCAAAACCGAAGATTTGTCGGCTGGTAGTGC